TCCTGATGCTTGGGATGTTGACTGCACAGCCCTGATGTTGTATTAACACAGCTCTTTGCAATTCATTTGCTAGAATGTTTTTTGTTTTAAAGGAGAAGTCAAAAGCAAAACCAAAGGCAATGCAGCAAGATGCTTTTAAAAGGGAAAAGAAAAATGGACAGAGCTATTCTGTTTGCCTTCCTATTCCTTGCCCTGCAGGCGTGCACCCTGCTGAGCTAACCAAGTCCTTTTGCTTAGGGACTTCTCTGTTTGTGGCCCATCAGAGTTTGTAAGCTCCTGCCTCCAGGGTTAACTGGCTTGCAAACCTTACAGGTTCCCCTCCTTTTGCACAGCACAGCTTTACTCCTGGGGGAATTCTGCACTACCGTGCAATGCAGAATTTTGCAGAAATTAATATTGTGCACGCAGAATTTCCTTCCCCCCCCCCACAGAAATGGGCTGCACTGCTTCTGTCCACCACTGGGGGCCGCTGGACCTAGCAGAGCCTGGCGGGCACATAGAAGACACTGCCGGGGGGAGAGAGAGGGAGCTGGAGCATTCCCAGCAACTGCTGTTCTCAGCACGCCCTGAGGCAAGGAGGAAACTCCGTGCAAGCCCAGACCGAGCCATCAGGCTGCTTCCCCTGGGCTCTGGAGTGGGAGGGAGTGTGGGTATCTGGGAGGGGAGCACAGCTGGGCTCTGTGGGGGAGTGGGTGTGGGTGTCTGGGCTGGGGGGGAGGCCTGCGGCTGGGCTCTCGGGGGTTAAGCTGTATTGACTGGGGGGACACCCCGCAGCTGGGTCCTGGGGTTGGGAGGGTGTCTGGCCCCCCAGCTGGGTTCCGGGGGGAGGAGGCAGAGAAACAGGAACTGGGTTGTCATAGGGGTTTCTTTAACTCTCTACTTCTGGGGGAATTTTTGTGTGTGTCTGTATTGTTACAGTATCAGAGGGGTAGCCGTGTTAGTCTGGATCTGTAAAAAGCAACAGAGAGTCCTGTGGCACCTTTAAGACTAACAGATGTATTGGAGCATAAGCTTTCATGGGTAAATGCCCACTTCGTCAGACGCAGTGGGCATTCACCCACGAAAGCTTATGCTCCAATACATCCGTTAGTCTTAAAGGTGCCACAGGAATCTCTGTTGCTTTGTATTGTTACAAACATACTTGCTGACAGGTATTTTGAACATAAAATTTGCAGAATTCTAAAATATTGTGAGCAGAATTTTGGGGGGGGGGGGTTTGAACAGAATGTTTAATTTTTTGGTGCAGAATTCCCTCAGGAGTAACAGTTTGTAAGTTCCTTTGACCAACTGAGGCCCTGAACCCACAAAGACTTTTCTATGGGTTTCACTTTACACTCATGAATGATCCCATTGCCTCCAAGCACATGCTTCAATCTTTGCAGCACTGGAGCCTAACTGCATACTTAGTGTCTGCTCCCACCAACCCCACGACCAAGGATAGCGCTCACACCTGAAACAGCCCCGAGGGGACCGCAACTCCCTCGATCTGAGGATGAATGCCACGCTTCAGGCAGCTGTAGCCAGTGCTTAATTTGCGCCGGGGCTTGCCAGGGCTGAGCCCCGGGGTTGCCACATCAGTTATGAAAGTAAAAAAATTGCTTGAGCCCTGGCACTTCTTTCATTACAAATTAAGCACCGGGCTGTAGCTCGCACAGAATGCAGCAGCGTGGCTGCTAGCCAGCAAATACAGGCAAGGAGGACATCAAGCCAATGCCCCTGGAACTCTGCTGGCTGTCCAGCCCTTTATGAACCGAATTTAAAGCCCTAATCCCAAATGACTAGGTACTCAAAAGGCTGGGTTCTCAGCCCAAAAGAGGCCTGTTTTGAAAATTTATGAGCATGTGAAAGGTAGGGTTTTATAATAGATATTCTCTGGGAATCTTTGCTCCAGCAGCAACTACAGACAGAGCTGGATTATAATATAATAAATGGAGATATACCTATCTCATAGAACTAGAAGGGACCCTGAAAGGTCATCAAGTCCAGCCCCCTGCCTTCACTAGCAGGACCAACTTCTGATTTTTGCCCCAGAGCCCTAAGTGGCCCCCTCAAGGATTGAACTCACAACCCTGAGTTTAGTAGGCCAATGCTCAAACCACTGAGCTCTCCCTCTCCCCGGCAGACTGAGCACAACTGTCGGCCCCAGCCCCTGCAGTCATGTGATTACACCAAATCTCAGCTTTCATTTAAAAAAAGGAAATTTCTATTCCTCGTGGTTGCAAAGAAAAGCTTGAAAATGTGACCAAAGCATAAATGATGCAGCAACGTCTGCCTGAGTCTGCAGAGAGCCTGAGACAATCGCTCTGAGAGGGTGAACTGCCCCCATGCATCTCAGTGGGATGTTAACTCTAAGACTCACTGCTCTGGGGGCACTGCTCAGGACTGTGTGTGTGTGGCAGGAGAGAAAGAGTATAGCATGGCCAGCCCACCCACGCAGATAGCATAGCAGCCAGGGTATAAGTACTGGGATCCCCTGCAGCCACCTCTGCCTCTCTGATGAGGAAAGGACTCTGCTGCCACTCCGACTGCTCCTGAGGAAATGGGGCCCAGCTGCTACTCCACATCCAGGAGAGGAAAAAGGCCCCATGCTGCTGGCCCAGCCTCTCTGGGAGAGATGGGAAGGTCCCTGTCACTGCCATGCCAAGTAGGGAGGCAGGGCCATGGAGCAGGGACAGAGCCTAGTTGTGGTTTGCGGAGGACCCTGGGTTGCCTTAACAACACAATAGCTAGAAATGATCGTTCTTTGGACTGGCGCCCTGGAGTCTGGCAGCTTGGTGTGGGTACCTGTTCATGGACCAATGGTTGAGACCACAGCAAAACCCCTCTCAGCCCAGCCCCACTCCAGCCAGCAAAGGTAAAACTCTCGGGCAGCAACTGAGGGTCGGGCAGAAACAGGAGGCCAGAATCGGGGGAATGGGGAAGGGTGCTCTAGGGAAACACATCCAAACCAGGTGGGGATCCTCCAAAACTCAAGCCTGCCAGCAAGCAGAGCTGAGAGAACAAGGAGCAAGATGGAAACACCAGTGGATTTGGACACAGGTTGTGGAGCAGAAGCCAGAGAGACACAGCTGGCGTACAGCCCAAGATGGAGAAGGAGCATGGGAAAGGAGCAAAACAACCTCTCACCTGCTACTGGCACTTGGGAATCAACCACAACTTCAGAGCAAGAGAAGTACAGCTTTGGTGTGTCGATTAAGTGCTGCTTAATTATGAGACCATAGTAATGACTGCAAGAGGAAAGCTGTTTAATTAAACTGTCTGCAGACTGATGTCATCTTAGTGCCATGAGTGAGCAGGAGGATTTCAAAAGAGTCAAAGGAGGAATTAGCCACAGAGAATGGCAGGGAATTCTTGCATCGTCACAGGAGGATGTCAGGAGAGGGGTGCTGCACTGACACCTAGTGCTGGGATGTGAAAATACGCAGAGTGTAATCTGTTCCCCTTATCCTCTCTCTGGATCTACATAGACCAGGGGCCATGAGATAATGATGTTGTGGACTTCCCCGTTGTGGGTTCAACCATTGCGAGTTACTTTGCAGGAATGCTGGGCTAGTGATGTTTGATTAATGATGTATTCTGTGAGCTCCATGGCAAGCACTCAGGTTGAAGGTATGTTTTGGAATATGGGGTTCTCCACAATGCACAGATGTCAGGGCTGGAAAGGAACCGATACGTTGCAGCCCATAGGTGGCTGCAGTTAAATACTGGCTGTGTTTATGTGGGTGGCCAAGTGTTTTGGGATCTTTTGGCATGGAAGGCAGTGAGCTTCATGCTGACGAGCAGAGCTAACTCGGTGGTTCTGAGCAGCAGTAGCGCAGTGAACTGAGCAGGTGAACCCTGCTCCACGAGCGAGAGAGGAGCTCAGTCTCTATTGCCCCATCTGTCTTTGGCCTCTCTGCAAGGATTACATGAGGGTGGTAAGCATCAAACCGGGAGTGGGACCGTCAGGACGCCTGCAGACAATTCGTACTAACCCCTCTCCTGAAGTACAGTGCACCTGGGCTACTGATGGGCGTGCCACATCTCGCTGTGGGGCAAGAAGTCAGTGCCATGGACGTGTCACCAGTCTCCTGTCGGCAACGTCCCTTCCTTTGGGCCAGCCTCCGTTCCCTGCACCAGACCTGAGACCAGGGCTTGGTGCTCAGCAGGATGGTGAAGGGAAGAAATTCTCCACTCCAGGCCACAAGTTGTGGGGTTTAACCAGAAGATCCACATAGTCAAGCATGCACCAGCTCTGTCCCTCCCCAAGCACAGGTAGTAAAGAATGTGGAGCTCTGGGAGGGCTCCCCATAACCTGCCCCATTCCTGTGCAGCAGAAATCGTACCCATTTTGCTGCCCAAAGAGTGAGAGTATGTGTGTGTGGCGGGGGGGGGGTGTGGTGGAAGGGTGGCAGGCTGAAATCCTTTCAATAAACATTGAGAAGTGTGACCAGGTGCCCATCCTGTGATCATGCAGCTGCACAAAAGGCACAATAATGTGACTTAAATAATAACACAGCACTTTTCATCCCCAGAAAGCGCTTTACAAAGGTGGTCACTATCATGATCCCCATATTGCAAACTGAGACCCTGGGAAAAGAAGTAGCTTGCTAAGGTCACCCAGCAAACCCGTGTCAGAGCTAGGAAGAGAACCCAGAGTCGCCTGAGCCTAAGTCTAAGTCTGTACTCTGTCCACTAGGCCACCCGTCTTCTGTACAGAAAGTGGTACACAGATCTCTTCTGAAATGTTTTGCAAGAGCCAATTCTGTTTACAGATTATCCAGCCAGATCCATGGGCTGAAAAAATATAAAAATAACAAGAAAAAGACTCACTGAATCATTTTTTTTAAATCTCATGGAATTTACTGAATACATGATTCATCAAACCATACTTGGCCAGCTTCCATCGCAAGCAATAGGGAAGCCCAAAGTGGGATTATTAACAAATGGAGATGCATTCAGATGGAAAAAGGCTTCCGTGCAAGCTTGAATTTTCCCTTTCCTAGTTCCAGGCCATTGTTCCTCTTCATGACCCCTCAGGTCCCAGTGAAACATGACTTGTTGGAGCTAGCCACCAGTCTTGCTGTCATTCCGCATCACGTGCAGCAGGCTCCATCCACATCCTGTGCTGTCCTTTCTGCATGTATAGTTCAATCAACTGGGCACCTCCCACTCCACGCCCGCTTTGCCCTGTAGGCTTTTATAAAGTGCCACGTGGGACAGAGAGAGGAATCAGGTCTGGGTGCAGCTTGCTAAGTGTGTTGTGTATCCTGTTGAATCGTGACCACACATGGGGAGAGGGCAAAGAGACCCAATCTGCTGCCTCTGCTTGTGCATCACTCCAGTCCTGGAAAGATTACAGCCATTATCTCAGGAGGATCTTTGAAAAGAGACCCACAGACAAGCACTTAGGCTTCCAGCAGCATTGCACGATGCATTTTTTATCCATCCAGCTACCTGCAAATTATCCCTCGTCCTTGTCCATTAACTCCAACACATACACTCATGCATACACGAGGACATGCCTCAAACACATCAGCCAAAGAAAACACTGGCAAAGCAAACAACTTCAGAGGAGCGGATGGCTTTTATTTTACCAACTTTATCCGCACAGAATGCACTGGAGATTTTGGGATGCTGGAAGCACATGCAGCCGTTGTATACAGTACAGAGCGGGGTGAACATTTTCAGAAGAGAAGGATCAAAATGGATAACAAAGGCAATACAACAATATAGCACAAGGAGAAAAAAATCCAACCCCATCCATCTGGAAATGATCCCGCATTCCTTTCCCCGTCAATCTAACAGGTGATTGACAGCCTCTGAACAACAATGTTTCAGGCCTATTTTCTCCCTGACCCTTGTCCACTGCCTTTGGATCTTCTTTAGTTCTGTGGAGAGTTCATCCTCTTCCTCGCTCACCTTCATCCCTAGGAAATTAAAAAGAAAATCATGACACCTCATAGGCCACACGGGGCTTCCTCACTGTATAGGACGTTTCCCTAAACACAATCTGTACATCACTTGGTACACCGAGGTTTAAGCTCACCAGTAAATGCAAGAGCAAGCAAGTCCAAGATGACCAGTCCATCTGCGCTTGCTGTGGGCAGATCGGCCTTTCCCATGATACAATAGCAGCTCCACCTTGCCTTCCTGGCTCTTTCCCTGCCTAACATGGTGAATTAAGAAACACCAGACCCCAAATCATCAGACAGGATACGCATTCCCAGCCCCTGCTTCTTACAGCATCATGCTTACTGTCCAGCAGTGAACTGTGGATGACTGTTCATGGGAAATCGCTGGGCTTCAAAATCTAGGAATTCCCTACAGAAGTCACTGGCATGGGGACGACTAATGAGCAATCACATCCTATTCCCTACTGTCAGGATTCAATAGATCGGCTACTGCATTTTGGTTGACCTTAATAATAACCCTTCGCACCTCTATAGCGACTTTCTTCCATGGAACTCAAAACTCTGCCAGCATTAATTAACCTACAAAATGCCTTTTGTAAGGGATCAGCATCCCTATTATACACATGGATCAAACTTGCCCAAGTCCTTGTCCAAGCTGGGACTAGACTACGAGGAGTCGTTACTCCCGGTCCCCTGCTGACGATAGCACTAGCTAGATCTGATCCTAAACTGTCTTACAAGTATCGACAGATCATTCGTCACTATTTGTCATACACAAAGTGAAGCCAATATTGGAACAGTGTATATACTCAGGAGCGAGGACAATAGGACAGGATGGGCCAAGCTTGCAGCAGTTAGGCAAATGGGATGGAAGTAAGCAAATAAAAATGGAGGCTCTCGCAGAGCACGTCCTAGCCATGAAGTACACAGACTGTCTCACAGACTTTAAGGCCAGAAGGGACCATCATGATCATCCAGTCTGACCTCCTGCACATCACAGGCCACAGAACCTCACCCATCCACTCCTGTGATAGACTCTAACCTCTGGCTGAGTTACTCCTTAGATCTTGATTTAAAGACTTCAAGTTTCAGAGAATCCACCATTTACTCTAATTCTAACCAACAAGTGACCCATGCCCTGGGCTGAAGAGGAAGGTGAAAACCCCCCAGGGTCTCCCAAAGGGAGAGGTGGAACCTCATCACCTGCATTCAGTTAAGCCAAGGCTTGAGTAAGCTTTGGGCAATGCACTGTAGGTAACAACACTGAACTGGCTAGGTGGATCAACAGACACGGGGAGCTCCTAGGTCTGTCCCATCTCTTATCACTAGGAGTCTGTCTCGGCACTAAGGAGGAGACTGGGAATGGCTCTAAGAAATCAACCAAAAAGCAAGACCATTGGGAGCAACCAGCAAAGACAGATGGAGCAACACAACCAGTATGTCTCACAAGCTGTCACCTTAATGTTACATGATCCCAATTCACTGAGTCATATTCCTTGTAGAGCCCATTTCTCAGCTCCGGCAGGAACCCTTAGGGATACATTTTATATGCTGGCTGCAGTCGCAGCTCTGGAGCCCTGACAGCCACTCCATAAGGAATTCATGCCCATGCTGTCACTAGAGCTGCTAGCTGTTCTCTTCAGATGGACTCACCTCGTCTGCTCTGGCACGTCCCATATGTAGCCTCCTGACTAATTATACAGCATACGGATCTGGGATCTCTGAGGTCAGCTGTAGATCCACCAGGCTACCTTTCCCCTCCAGAACACCGGGGACAGAGAAAGGCAGGAATCACGCCATGTCTGAAAGAAAAGGAGAGATGGGGCCACACATCAGTCTCAACCTGAACGTCTGTCACTCCTGAGGATCAGATCATTATTTTGAGAGCACTTACATGAGAGATACCATCGCTCCCAGCACTGCTAAACAGGGCCATGCCTAGGTCCCATCCAGGTCACCGAGCACAGACCGGGCTGCAGGAGAAGCTTCTGGCTCTTGGCTCTGTAATGTTTTTGTGGCAAAACTGAAAAACGCTGCAGGAGACATTTTCATTTTGCAATTGTTGCCAACCGGTCAGGAGGTGCTGCCGATGAGGAGCTGCAGAGAGAGCTGGGGTGGAGGTGGAACATGGCCTGCCAAGGGTGCAGGGGCAGCCAGACCTGGGGTTTAGCAGGAGGGTTTCTGAGATGATGAGTGCATTGCTGTTTGTAGTGGGAAAGGGGAACGGAAGGAGGTTGGGGAGTGCAGGACCCTGACATGGGGGTGACCCCATTACAGGGGGGTCAAGGAGAATCAGAGCCATCAGAGATCAAAAGGCCCAATTGGATCATGGAGGCCTGGTCCCTGCCGGAGCAGAGCTGGTCCCTTAGGTACGGAAAAGACAAAGCTGGCACCAGTCAAGCCCAGGATGTATGCTAGCTCTGCCACAAAAGAGCTGCAGGGGACTCTGTAGGGTCGCTTAAAGGCCCTGCCCCTTCCAGGAGCAGAGCCTGCAGCAGCTGCATGATCCGACTTCACGCCGTGCTCGTAGTAGACCACGGGGATCCAGCCAGGGTATTGTTCCCTCTCTGCCTGCTACACGGCTCCCCCTCCTGCCCATTCCTCCACCCCTTTGGGGATGGTATAGGGGAGGTATAGGGGATGCCCTTGGGGATGCTATAGGGAAGGCACCGCACAGGCTGGGGAAGCACTCCATGGCTGATGGATACCAGGCCCCAGAGATCCTTAAGGGTCCTGGGACAGAGCCCAGGGGTCAAAGAAACCCCCTTCTCCCATACAATAAGCCTGGGAGAGGAGAAAGCACCTCCCTTGCCCCACCCCCCACTGCACTGAAGGACAGCTGCCCCACCCCTTTCTTCTAGCCCTGATGGCTCAGCAGGGCTTTGCAGCCCTGGGCCTCTGTGCAGGACCCAGAGAGAAGCAGGCTGTGCAGAGGAAGGGAGTGGAGAGGGGAGGTCTCTTGTATGCTCCTTGTCTCCTCACCCCAAAGCAGTTCCATCACCTGCCCCCAGAGAGCAACACACACCCCGGCCACAGCATCATCACAGGTGAGGATCAGTCGGGCCACCGCGGAGCCGGCTTATGTGCCCCATAATCCCAAGAAAGCATGAGCCAGGGGTTCCTCGGTCTGGGAAGCAACAGAACCTATAAGAGGGACAGACACCGGTTCCCAGAGGCTTCTCCTCTCTTACTGACGTGTCCGCTGCAGCAGAACTCGCAGAGCCGGGAGAAGCAGCATCCGGCTGGGGCTCCAGGGTTCCAGACTAGATTGCTCCATATTCAGGCGACAGGCAGGCTGGAGTCTGGTCAGATCTCAAACTAAGCCAGGGCCTGGCTGTGCTTGGATGGCAGAGCTCTGAGAGGTGTTAGGGGGCACTGTGCTACTATGGACAAGCCGGAAAACCAGTCTCTGATCCCACAGCAGGAGAGATCCCTCTGGCATCCTGGCCAAATCCCCAATTACACTTAGCACACCAGCTCCCCTATATTCCCCCTTTACTTTCACCTGGAGAAGCTATTGCTCATTCCCTGTTAAAAACTGTTGCGTAGTGTTGCTGCTGCACCCAACCCCAAAGGTGTCTGCATTGCTGTGGCAGGAGAGTTATCCCTACGTCTACAGCCTGTAAAACGTTTCAGAGTCCTTGTGGATGAAAGATGCTATAGAAATATCTATTCTTATTCACTCTGATAAGACTAGAGGCAGTTGAAGTTGGAGGGTTATTCATTAGTAGGATAAAACAGCAGCACAATGGCCATTTCCAGGGTTGAGAAGCTGAAAAGAGTGATACTGAAAGAGACTAGAGGGGTTACTGTAAATGAGCCTGTGACATGACACAGCAGCAAAAGAAATGACTGTATATTTGGGCTATCTGTACACACCAGCACCGTGCCCCAGAGCTGAGAGGGCAGAACTCTGGGGAGACCCCACCTCAACAGCTGCAGGACTCTGGGCACCGTGACACCAGAAACAGATCAACAAAGTGCAGGGAAGTTAGAGGGATGCAACAGGGTGGTTAAGGGGTTTATGAGAAAAGGGTGGAGCTAGGCATGTATCGCAGGGCTAAACAAATCACTAAGTGGATATGCATCTAATGCAGGTATTTTCCTTCACTAATGTCTATGAGTTTGTAAAGTCAGAGCCTGAACCAGAGCCTAGAGCTCTTATCTCCAGCAACATACAGAAGTTTTCAGAGTAAATCCCCTAGAGCAGCCTGGCTAGTTCTTCTGGTTTCCTCAACACACACACGCCCCAAAAAAGATGCTGGTGAGATATGGACATAGTAGAATGGTTTAAAATGAATGGCTCATACTCAGACCAGCATGGGGTACCCACTGCCCAATCACTGGCTTATCATGGGGCTAACGTCTGCCTTGGCTTAACAACCCAGACAGTTTCAGGGGAGGTGCACAGGCCAGCAGAAGGTTTGTTCCACAACCTCTACTGTCCATTGCCACTGAGGCTCAAGATGGGAGTGGGACAGTCTGACCCACCTGCACCAGCTCTGCCAAGGTTCACACTTGAAAGCATTCGAACAACTCGCCCAAAAATGCCCTGATGCTCTGATCTTCAAAGATCAGACTTTTATAAATATCTCCAACTTCAACATTACCACCTGCCCAGGCCAGGCATACAGCGACCCACATCCCAGCTTGGAAAGACTCCAGAAATCAGGCAGCTCAGTAGGACAAACTTGCCCTTCTCTCTGCGGCATTGAACAGTGCTGAGATAGACAAGGCAGAACCAAGAAAGTAAAAGTGGGAAGCAGAGTCTGAGGGGCCATAGAAGACGATTTGTAGGCAGATGTCCTCCAAAACACACATCCGCTAACTCCTCCCCATCCCACAGAGAATTCCACTGGACAGTAACCACTGCATCTTCTATATACCAGAATCCTCAAGAAAGTGATCTCTTTGTCTCTTAAAGGCTGCAATAAAGAGGATGGTGATCAATTGTTCTCCAGGTCCACCAAGCATAGGACAAGAAGAAATCAGCTTAGGTTTCAGCAAGGGAAATTTGTTAAATATTAAGAAATCTTATTAACTATAAAGATAATTAAGCTCTACAGAGGTTGTGGAATCCCCGTCATTGGAGGTTTTTAAGAACAGGTTGGACAAACACCTGTCAGGATGGTCTTGGTTTACGTGGTCCTACCTCAGTGCAGGGGGATGGACAAGATGACCTCTGGAGGTACCTTCCAGTCCTGATTTCTATGATCTAGGCATTTATACTGTACCCATGACTTCTAGGCACCCAAACTCTGAAACTTTCCAACTTCTGTTGGGGAGACTGTGCCAATACATCTCCACACACACATTTTCTTGGACTGCCCATACATACAATAATTTTGGTCACACATACAATAAGATGTTGACCCACAATCCAGTAAAAAAAAACCCAACGCATCACATACTTGGAAACATGCATGAAATAGCAAAGGAAGATGTTTATTCAGAATCTAAGCAATAGCAGCATGGGAATATCTCACCACTCTGTGCTTCCCAAGAGACAAAGCTGTCACTACAAGGAGTAGGAGACATGGAACAGCTCACAGCTTGGACCGGACAGTCCCAAGATGGAGTTTGAGGAACGCTAGCCATGAACTACAATTAATTATCTCTTTAAAATATGTAAGAAACAAAGATAAACAGCAACCTCAAGCTAAAACGACATCCCACTGTAACTAGAAAACTGTGTTAGTCTCTCATTTAGATGCTGGATAAATAATGCTGACTTAACCAATTATAGCAAGTCTGCCTCAAACACCCATGTGCCTAGCTGTATAGCAATATGGTGCTGTCTATGTAGTTATGGAGAATCCAGGTCAACATCTTCAAAGACCTAACTCCAAGAAAATATTGACCTCAGTAGTGGTGGCCCTATGCTTTTCTCTTTTTAGAAAGTGCCACCTTGAAAACCTCTATATCTGTGTGTGTATTTCTCATGTATTTTTACCCAGGTTCTTACCTGGAAATATCCAGTCAAAGCACAAATAAACTGTTTTAAAAGAAAGGCGAGAGGACACGGGTTGAATGAATGATCCCGAAGTCCCACTGATGTTTTGTGATTGAATGACACAAAGCAAACCCAGACAGCCCAGAGCATTCGGCCAATGGTTTTGGTTTGTATCTAATGTGAGATGGATTGATTATTAATTTCCAGGTTTCCACTTAAGTATGGTGTCAAAATCTGGCAAACTGATCCACAACTGACCACAGAATGATAAGTACAATGTTTAAATAGACCATTTCTGTCATAGGTCAACAACTGACCCTCTTATTGGAAGTCCAAGGGAATGAGTTCCCTGTGCGTCCTATAGTATAGTCAGCAGTTCATTCCCTGACTGCTTCCTCCAGGCCAGGATTTAAGGAAGCCCTGTGTGGTGCCATGAGACAGCACAGGCTGTATTAGCCTGGGAGCTAGAGAACCAGTGAGGACCTGATTCCCTTCTACGATGAGATAACTGGCTCTGTGGATATGGGGAAAGCAGTGGATGTGATATATCTTGACTTTAGCAAAGCTTTTGATACGGTCTCTCACAGTATTCTTGCCAGCAAGTTAAAAAAGTACGGATTGGATGAATGGACTATAAGGTGGATAAAAAGCTGGCTAGATTGTCGGGCTCAACGGGTAGTGATCAACGGCTCAATGTCTAGTTGGCAGCCGGTATCAAGCGGAGTACCCCAGGGGTCGGTCCTGGGGCCGGTTTTGTTCAACATCTTTATTAATGATCTGGATGATGGGATGGATTGCACCCTCAGCAAGTTCGCAGATGTCACTAAGCTGTGGGGACAGATAGATATGCTGGAAGGTAGGGATAGGGTCCAGAGTGACCTAGAAAAATTGGAGGATTGGGCCAAAAGAAATATGATGAGGTTCAACAAGGACAAGTGCAGAGTCCTGCACTTAGGACAGAAGAATCCCATACACCGCTACAGGCTGGGGACCAACTGGCAAAGCAGCAGTTCTGCAGAAAAGGACATGGGGATTACAGTAGACGAGAAGCTGGATATGAGTCAACAGTGTTCTCTTGTTGCCAAGAAGACTAACGGCATATTGGGCTGCATTAGTAGGAGCATTGCCAGCAGATCGAGGGAAGTGATTATTCCCTTCTATTCGGCACTGGTGAGGCCACATCTGGAGTATTGCGTCCACTTTTGGGCCCCCCATTACGGAAAGGATGTGGACAAATTGGAGAGAGTCCAGCGGACGGCAATGAAAATGATCAGGGTGCTGGGGCACATGACTTACGAAGAGAGGCTGAGGGAACTGGGCTTGTTTAGACTTCAGAAGAGAAGAGTGAGGGGGGATTTGATAGCAGCCTTCAACTACCTGTAGGGGTGTTCCAAAGAGGATGGAGCTCGGCTGTTCTCAGTGGTGGCAGATGACAGAACAAGGAGCAATGGTCTCAAGTTACAGTGGGGAGATCTAGGTTGGATATTAGAAAACACTATTTCACTAGGAGGGCGGTGAAGCACTGGAATGGGTTACCTAGGGAGGTGGTGGAATCTACATCCTTAGAGGTTTTGAAGGCCCGGCTTGACAAAGCCCTGGATGGGATGATTTAGTTGATGTTGGTCCTGCTTTGAGCAGGGGGTTGGACTAGATGACCTCCTCAGGTCTTTTCCAACCCTAATCTTCTATGATTCTACGGTTTATGTGTGACCAGCAGCCTCAGTAAAAAATCTCTGTTATATTCATTATGACTAAGTACTGTCTCTTCCCTGACAACCCAGGACTCTGTCCCTGCAGAACAAGACTGAGGCCCACAGGCAGTGTGTGTCGTGCTGCCCCATGTGCTGCACCCATTCTTCACAGCTCCCGTCTCCAGGGCCCTCAATCTGGCTTCTTGCCCCAGCGTTAAATTCTCTTAACAAAGAGTATGGAAAAGGTGCACAGAATGTCAACATCTGGCCATGGCACCGCAGCAAACAGGCACCCGAGGTCTGGGGAAGTGGGCAATATCAAGGAGAAATAGGAAGTCATCCACTAATTTATTATCTTGTTAGTCAGACCTTAGATGGAAGCTCGTTAGGGTGCAGCTTGTTGATCACTGATACAATAAAACCATCTGCTTTGTGTTTGGCAACCCAGGGCAAACAAAGGACATGTATGAGCACAGTCCAATCACATTCCACAGACATGCTACTCAAGCAATTTACAGCTCTGACGGGAACGTTACTGGCGCCGTGGGGATGAGACTAGGAAGGGGCAAAGGGGCGCAAGCGGCTTGCACTGGTTTGGATGCTGATAAGAGGCAGGGGCCTTTACAAAGGGAGGGAAGGAGTACAAGGAGCAGACGCGTAGTTCCGGTCACCTACAGAGGTGAGGAGGGTGGGATGGAAGAAGAGAGCATCTCTCTGTAGAATCCATAAGCCGATTCTGCTCACCAGGGAAAGAGGGCAGGGGGAGGGGCAGGATCAAGTTCACATAGATTCACCACAACACTGCTAGAGGGAGCAAGTAAAATGATTCCACGTTGAGCTGGGAGGATCAGCAGGAATGGGTCTCTAATGCAGACAGAGAATACAGATGCAAACGAGTCCCTTGACAGAAAGGCCTGTGCACTCGTCATAAATTATGCTGCGCCGCACCTAGCAGAGGAACACCCATTGTCCCTTGTCGGTGTCATTGTGCCATATGTTTCAGTTGATCTGTCAAACCCCAGTGAGCTTTTGTGGGAGCCTTCAGGTTTGTGCTTATCAGGGATTAAATCACCAGCATAAATCTATAGTTTGGCTTTTATTTTTGCTGGACATTGATGGGACCACTTAGGACACGGAAGATAAACTACGTGTAGGCTCCCAGACCCTCCCTGTGCCCCAGGGAGCTCTCCCCACCCCACTCAGGCACCCCCAGCTGGTCCAGACTTGACATCATGGTCCAAGCTCTGGTTAACCCTGTCTCTGCCACACACTCCTCACACAAAGGATCTGTTGCAGCAGGAGAGTTTTACAGCTCTCTCTCTCTCTCTCTCTCTCACACACACACACACACACACACACACACACACAATTATCCACAAACAAGAATAGCTATTTCTCAGCAGGTGTGGATCAGCAAAGCTCCATCAACTTTATTGACTTCATTGATCTATATCAGCTCTGGATCTGGCCCAGTCTCTATTACAATTCTGAATCCAAAATTTTGCATCTTAGCAGAAGCAAATAAAACCATGAATCCTGGCCAAGAGGCCACCGCCCATCTTCAGCCCAACAGCTTTGTCACCCAATGGACTGTATACCATTCCACTGCACTTCTATCAGAATATCAGCTCTGCAGGGAACGGATGCTTGTCAGCCATATGGGTGTTCTCATGGTCACCGGTCACATGGGACAGACTTCATTATAAATATAAGTGGAGAATTTTGCATATGATTTGGGCAGCGGAGCCTGTGGTCCTGGAGTGAGCGTCCACCCGCAGAGAATTCTAGTTTGAATGTATTAATACTTACCCCTGGATTTCTCCATTTCCATTCAGGTTATTGGCCAGTTCACCATCCCCCCCATTTAGGACCGCATTACATTTCCAACTTGCTCCAGCCCCTTATCCTAGGTTCCCATGGAAAATGCACAATCCTGAAGCCTCCTTGCTTTTCTTTAAACATTTATAGTCACCCCTTTGGGGACTAAGGCGAGGCCGTTCATGTAACAGAATCTGGACCAGCTGGCCCTCTTATGATCCGCCCTCAAAGCCTTTACCACATTTTGCCGTATGATGGCATGGGAATTCTCTTTGTAACTGTTTAGCCAGTGTTGCTGTCCAGCTCTTGGCATACAAAGCCCCAACTTCTGTCATCTCAGCTCTGCCCAGCCAGGATCTCAGCCAGTCACATGGTCTAATTCAGAACTAAGGGATCTGGTTCAGGCTCCATTATCCAACCCTCTGCAGCCCCCAAAGGTGACTCCTTCTTGTCTGGCGATATTGCTTTCTTTCCCCTGCACATCAGCGGCCTGGTTTCCAAAGGGGCAGAGAACCCGCAGCTCCACATGACATCAGTGGCTCAGAAGCTCTGAAAATCAGGCCATAAAAGTTTTAGCGACTTGCTCCCTCCAGAGGGTGCTGTAGCCAGCCCTGTCTGGTCTGTACCTGCTGTAATGGCTCTTCGAGGAGATTTCACGAGGGTCATTCATCTCCTTCCACCTCAGAGGTAAACCATCACACATACAGGGACCAGGAGAGGAAGGAATGATCTCTTGGCTGAAAGCAAAGGACTCAGAAGAGGATACCTTGGTTCTCTTCCCAGTTCTACTACAGACTGGCTGGGTGACCCTGGTCAAGACACTGAACCTTTCCAAGCTCCCTGTTCCCCCATCTGTAAAATGGAGATACCACCCAGACATGTATATGAGGGTTATTTCATTAATACACCTCTACCCCGATATAACGCTGTCCTCGGGAGCCAAAAAATCTTACCGCATTATATCCAACTTGCTTTGATCCACCGGAGTGTGCAGCCCCCCCCACCCCCACCCCCCCGGAGGACTGCTTTACCACATTATATCTGAATTTGTGTTATATTGGGTCGCGTTATATCGGGGTAGAGGTGTATTTGCAACTCACTTTGAGATCCTCAGGCTAAAGCTGGCTCAGAATTACAAAGTACTATTATGATTCATTATTATCACAGGCAGTGCAGGTACAGTAACTCCTCACTTAACGTTGTAGTTATGTTTCTGAAAAATTCAACTTTAAGCGAAACAATGTTAAGCGAATCCAATTTCCCCATAAGAATTAATGTAAATGAGGGGGTTAGGTTCCAGGGAAATTTTTTTCACCAGACAAAAGACTCTCTCTCTCTCTCTATATATATATATATATATATATATACACACACACACACACAGAGTAATTAAAGTTTAAAA